TTGTTGCTGTGTATACAGTACAGAATCAATAAACAAGAGGCACGGGGCCGCACATCCCGGGAAATCCGGAGTCTTCACATAGAACAGCAGTAGCTCATCTGTTGGATCGGACCACAGGGGCCAAACTTGCCTCCCCACAAGCATCAATGGGCGTTGGCCCTTCATTAACCTGTCACCGGTTCACGGCTTTTCCTTCCTTGAACCGCTTTTGATAGGTGCAGACTGTTGTTGGAGATGCTCTGGACCAGTCACCTAGCCATCACAATGTGGCCCTTGTCAAAGTTGCTCAAGTATTTACCAGCAAAATCCACTGACTCCACCTCCGCTCTCCACTCCGCAGAGAAAAATGCAGCGGGTCTATTTTTGACAGAAACAGCATTGGACCGGGCAGGAAGTCTGACACAATACAAGCTTAAGATAAGAGATAAGAAATGCCACAGTGACTGCTAGCGCACAGGCTGCGATGTCTTCATATCTTTGATACCTTCTTCCACATCTTTACCGTCTTACAGCCACTTTACTGTGTTCACACCCTCCATATGTCGACACAGAGCAGGTTCATCATCGCCCATCGTCCTTAAATATTTAAAACTGTTGTGTACGTGGGCTGTAATACCTTTTCCTGAATGGATTATTTTAATAAAATCAATCACAGTCTCAACAGAAATGTAAACAACTGCACATCAATAAATATTTTACAGCCATCTATAAACAGAGAGATAATAAGCATGTGTATTTTACCTTACACATAATCTGCCGTTTAAGAGTGTTGGTAAAGGGATGAACTAGATCTAGTTCATCCCTTTACCAACAATCTTTAATTCTATCCAAAGCTACAAGAAACCATTTCTCAACCACCATCTGCTGTCTATTATACAGTGACCTGCTGTTGAATGCATCTAATACTACATGACTGTCTACAATGAGGATTTGCAACTTTAAGATTTCACTCAACTATAGCTACAACATTTCACATTTGAAAGAGGCGCTAGATAACTTTGTTTCTGGAACCCACGTCCCCTCTGGTTTAATCATTTCCAACGCACCAACTGTAACTACAGACAAACGGCTCACATATACAGGTGCTGGTCATTAGAATCTCATCAAAAAGTTCATTTATTTCAGTAATTCCATTCAAAAAGTGAAACTTATTATATTCATTCATTACACACAGACTGATATATTTCAAATGTTTATTTCATTTAATTGTGATGATTAAAACTGACAACTAATGAAAATCCCAAAATCAGTATCTCAGAAAATGTGAATATTACTTAAGATTTTTAGAAATGTTGGTCAACTGAAAAATGTGAACATGAAAAGTTTGAACATGTACAGCACTCAATACTTAGTTGGGGCTCCTTTTGCCTGAATTACTGCAGCAATGCGGCGTGGCATGGAGTCGATCAGTCTGTGGCACTGCTCAGGTGTTATGAGAGCCCAGGTTGCTCTGATAGTGGCCTTCAGCTCTTCTGCATTGTTGGGTCTGGCGTATCGCATCTTCCTCTTCACAATACCGCATAGATTTTCTATAGGGTTAAGGTCAGGCGAGTTTGCTGGCCAATTAAGAACAGGGATACCATGATCCTTAAACCAGGTACTGGTAGCTTTGGCACTGTCTGCAGGTGCCAATTCCTGTTGGAAAATGAAATCTGCATCTCCATAAAGTTGGTCAGCAGCAGGAAGCATGAAGTGCCCTAAAACTTCCTGGTAGACGGCTGCGTTGACCTTGGACCTCAGAAAACACAGTGGACCAACACCAGCAGATGACACGGCACCCCAAACCATCACTGACTGTGGAAACTTTACACTGGACTGCAAGCAACGTGGATTCTGTGCCTCTCCTCTCTTCCTCCAGACTCTGGGACCTTGATTTCCAAAGGAAATGCAAAATTTACTTTCATCAGAGAACATAACTTTGGACCACTCAGCAGCAGGTCTGTGCGTGGTGGTTCTTGAAGCACTGACTCCAGCTGCAGTCCACTCTTTGTGAATCTCCCCCACATTTTTGAATGGGTTTTGTTTCACAATCCTCTCCAGGGTGCGGTTATCCCTATTGCTTGTACACTTTTTTCTACCACATCTTTTCCTTCCCTTGGCCTCTCTATTAATGTGCTTGGACACAGAGCTCTGTGAACAGCCAGCCTCTTTAGCAATGACCTTTTGTGTCTCGCCCTCCTTGTGCAAGGTGTCAATGGTCGTCTTTTGGACAGCTGTCAAGTCAGCAGTCTTCCCCATGATTGTGTAGCCTACAGAACTAGACTGAGAGACCATTTAAAGGCCTTTGCAGGTGTTTTGAGTTAATTAGCTGATCAGAGTGTGGCACCAGGTGTCTTCAATATTGAACCTTTTCACAATATTCTAATTTTCTGAGATACTGATTTTGGGGTTTCAGTTATAATCATCACAATTAAAAGGAATGAACACTTGAAATATATCAGTCTGTGTGGAATGAATGTATACATTATACAAGTTTCACTTTTTGAATGGAATTAATGAAATAAATGAACTTTTTGATTCTAATTATATGACCAGCACCTGTATGTTTAAAATACGTTAAACATTATAGTTGAACTAATTACCGTTATCGCTCTGCCACTGATAAACATGGGAATAGCTTTGTGGCTACTTTAGCTATGTGCAGCGTTAGCTGCTGTCAGCGATGTTAGAAAATATTTAGAAGTGATGAACTAGGGGAAAATGATAGGACCATTAGCTAGAACTGCCACACTGTTTCAGAATTAAGTCTACAATCAAGTCTGTCAACAGTGCAGCCTCCACCACTCACTTACTGTACCATTAAACACAGTGCTGTGAGCTGGGAGGTCATGAATGTTTTCAGGAGAGGAGACGTGATGAGGGCTCTTTTTATTATAATTTCAGTCATGTATTTCACCTGAATGACCAACTCTCCGGGAATTCAGACTGAACTCTTTGTTGTCTGGTCTGCATGTTTTGTAGACTCTGGTCAGCTGCTGTGTTGTTTTGTGGTGTTGTTAACAGGGGAGTTGCAGAGCGCCCTCTGGTGGGCAAACTATGCATCACTCATGACATGACTGAAGGATCTGTATCTCCTGTTCTTTTTTAATAGTCTATAATCGGCTGTTATAAACGCCAATGCCGATTTAAGTACAATTAGCTCATATCGGCCGATTATATCAGCAGCAGCATCATAAATATAGACACTTCAACCCTTTATTTAAATCTCTGCAATTTAGCCATTTAGTTAACACTCTCATCCACATGCATTTACACCAGACAGTAGATAACTAATCAATCAGCAATAATAAATACCAGCTGTCTTAGAAGAAACCAACAGACAAGTGGTCAGGGACCAGATGTCACAGCGGCCTGTAAACAATCCTGTGGAGATAAATGAGAAGGGGATTTGCTCTACTGATAAACAAACTGCACTTACGTGAAAACAATTACTTTAGAAGGCTATGCAACAAATGAACTGAAGCTAATTGAAAGTGCACCCTCTAAAGAACCTATTGGTTCCTTTTCAGCAAGTGGAAGCTATAAGACCCACACAGTTTTACTAAGATTTTCTAATGATTATGATCTAAAGATGCATTTTTCTGCTTGGTTAGTGCTGCATTGAAGTCTCTGCAGCAGTTTTATATATCGTCATTGTCATCATCCAAGTATTTATGTATTAGTATTAGTATTAGTATTTATCCATGTTTCATGGAAGGGCTGAACACGAGTCCTGTCATAGACACCTATGGCATAGGTTTTGGTTTATAATCCAGCGTTGCTTGTAGCACTACAGTGAAAAGTTGAAAAATGTTTTACTTTATACAAATGTCCTCTGATGCAATGTGAGCAACAACCAGGCGACAGCCAACCACACTTGTTTTGATTCCCATAGAAACCGAAGAGCCGAGTTGTTTACTGCTCCGCACCACTACTGGAGTGGGGATCACTTCTAGTGCAGATGCAGGACTACAGTGCCCATGACGACACAGGACACGGCCTGTGAAGGCTTGATTAATATTAACATAATATATAACACACATAACATATTGAAACCACAATGACCAACTGATATAAAGTGTTGATGACAAGATGGCGTATTAGTGGTTCTCGAGCTGTCAGTTCCTTATTAATTATTATTGACAGTTAAATAATGCACAGTTGCTGCCCTTGCAACAATTTTGTCTTTTTTTGTTCCTTCTACAAAAATAGGCCACTTTTTCATTTCATTTGTATTATATTTATATCTTGTATGTAGAATAAGTATGAACTTCATTTTACATATTGACTCTAACAGCATTCAAATTAAATATAGTTATTGATTACTTGATGCAGAGATAAGTGACGGCAGCCTAAAACTTTCATTGACTAACATCCCATATTTCTTCCCCGCTGCGTTCAGAAACCAAAACATGTAAAAAGAAACTTCTTCCACTATTTTACATTTACATTAACTTATTTATCTGATGCTTTTTATCCAAAGCGACTTACAATTGCTATACATGTCAGAGGTCGCACGCCTCTGGAGCAACTAGGGGTTAAGTGTCTTGCTCAGGGACACAATGGTGCATGTGTCACAGTGGGGGGATTTAACCCGGGTCTCTCACATCAAAGGCAGGCGTCTTATCCATTGTGCCATCACCACCCTATTTTCGTAACATATGAACTATTTTCTTTCTACCCATAGTTCCTACATGAAACTGCTCACATCAAGGACTGTAGATTAGCTTGAGTAACTGGGTCATGATTTTTGAAAACAGACATTGCTGTTGAGTTTTGAGCACCACAGGCCGAGTATATGGCAGACATCTCTATGGGAGATTTCTCCAAAACTCCGCAGCCTTGGTTCCTGTTTTTACATCAACTTGCAATACAATTTACTATGATTTTGCACCGTTAACCTATTTAAAAAACTTTTTAGGACATGTTTTATAGAATCTTGTTAAGTGTCTGTAACAAGACAAACAAACTTGGTAACATGGTATCTTGTCTTAGCTTGTAAAGAACACAGAAACAACATATAATAGGGGTAACCAATATTTTAATATAATTTTTAATTTAGATATGAAAGGCTTCATAAAAGAACATTCTTTCCCAAATTGCGGCATGGAGGCGTGTCTTTTTAGCATATTCTCAAAACTGGAATGAAATAATTTCCAAACACTGCAATAAAAAACAGGCAGTTTCTGCTACAGTAATACAATTTTCCATTTACGTGACGTCACAGAGGTCAAGAAACAAGATCCAGCAGCTGCCTGCATCCACAGAAACCATTAAAATAAAAACAAAAAGCAAATACTGTAATCACAAGATCATCCGTGCCAATTTCAACACATACTCTTGGTATACATTAACATGCTTTAAAGTAAAAAGTAAAGTTGTGTGAAAACAGGTCCCCTCTAAAAAAAAAAATAAACATACAAAGCAAGACTACGTCCACATGAAGCCATACAACTTTTAAAACGCAGTTTAAGTGTAAAAACAATGTGCGTCTTCACTACTTCTATGTTGTTTTGGTAAAGATCAACATCCACACTGAACAGGAAAATAGCTTAATCTCTTCATCTTTAACTTCTTTTCATTCTGCAAACAATAAAACTCTCATCACAACAAACACCAGCTGAGGAGCGGGACTAACACTTTGCTGAGTCTCAGCTCTTTAAACCTCTTTCTGTCCCCTCCTGCTCTCTGTGTTCACCTATACTGTCTTTTAATACTGCAGAACTCACCATTTACTTTGTCCTCACTTACTCTATATGTTTATCCGTTTCTACAGCCATATAATGGATAGAGTTTATAATGATGATTGATAACATAACATGTTAAGCAGCAGTCAATCCCTAGCTGCTCTGGTTCAAGTCATTATTTTACAATCATGAGTAAGGCTACAGCTAATCATTATTTTGATTAATGGACCGTTTTATATCATCCTATAAAACGCCAGTTTGTCTGACAAACTAAATGTTTACGGTAAAACAGAAAAAAAACCAGCAAATCCTCACATTTTAGAAGATGGGATCAGCAAATGTTTGTTTTTGTGCTTAAACAATTTAAAAAAAAATAGTTGCAGATAATTTTTCTGGTATTCGCCAAAATACTTATACCTAAAAACAGGTGAGTAATGGAAGCTGTTTTGGCCTTCGCCTGTGTTGTATGTTATCGCTTCACAGAGAAAGTTTGAAGAAAATTACCTCCTTAATTTTCCTGCCACGCATCCCGTGACTGTGCAGGCCAGTTTTCTGCAACACAAAGCGCACTTCGTTTTTTTGTCTTAAGACACGGCGGCTTAGTGTGGACAAACGGCTGAAACGGAGTGTGAAAGTGTAAATTTAACCGGCTTAATGTGAACGTACTCGAAGTCAGTGCAATAGAGTTAAAAAAAGAAGAAGCACTCGCTCTGGATGCTGGATACTGGCTTCCTGCAGCAGCTGGGTGTGAGGCTTTTCACATTGTCGTCCTCTCTTCAGTTCGCTGAGGATTCAGCAGCCTCACAGTCCCCGTCTTTTCACCGAATGGACCCGTGTTCAGGGAAGGGAAAGGACTTCAGCCACCAGCTGGTGGATTCCGCTTTTGACTTGTCCGCTATCTGAGCCATTTTGAAAGGTAACCAGCCAGAATCTGGAAGTCCTCTCCGGCGCTTTAAGCTGGCTAGTGAATTTATCAAAGTGGCTGGTCAAGCTTTGGAACATGAAAATTTGGTTTCCCGCCCTTCCTGATTTTAGTTTTCAGTGCAAATCAGCAAGAGTCTCTTTTTCATCCACTGCACCTCACGCTGAACTGAGCTGGAACAAAGTGCCTCAAGTTCGCAGGGGACTTTTTTTTTGTGACCTCAGTAACAAAACTAGAATCTCAGTTAAAACAATAAGGAAAAATATACACAAATATATGTTTACATTATGTACATTTACAGAAGCTCTTTAAAAAGTCAAAATCGACACAAGGCTGCCTTATCAAAAATGTCCAAAGAAAGTGTCATCATCTCTTTACATAATGTAAACACGAGACACAGATCTGTGTTGCTGCTGGAGACGACCTCATCCTTTTCATACTTACGTTTACGTCCTGAAAATAACGTCTCAACAACATTAATCACAAAAGGTGACAGCGAGAGGTGACGTGCACAGCAGGTCGGTCAGATCCAGCAACAACACAGAGTCTCTAAAAATGTTCACAAATGCAGGCAGCATGTTGAATTATGGGAAATTGTACTACAGTTAATAAAAACTCCCTATATCGTATTGCAGTGTGTTAAAGGCCAAACTCAATTTAACTCACAAAGTTTCCAATTGTTCCAATCACAAACCTGCGATCATGATTTATCCTGAACCTTCAGCAGCGACTTTAAGTGAACGCTCATTTGCTCTCGGCTTTGGTTGCTCTGTTGAGGCTCGTTTTCTCCGACCCAGTGGCTGGGCGGTTTGGGTAAGACACTCGGTGAGGGCGGCTCACTGAACTTCGCTCCAGCGTAGATCTTCTCGCCATCTTTGAGGTATTCAGACGCGGCTTCAGCAGGCGGTGTGTTCACGATCTTCACATTGTTGGAGGCGTGGAGGGGTTTTTTCTGCTCCCGGAGCGGAGGCTGGTGGAGCGAAAAGGGCTTATTGGGGCTGCTGTTATCTTTCTTTGAGGGGTGAGAAGCGCCGGGGGTCTGGCCCTGTTTGGGCTTGTGGCTCCGTGTCACCACGTTCTGGGTGATCTGATCGTGTCTGGGCAGGTTGCGGGGAGGTTGGCCCCCCGGCTGCATGGCCCCTCGTTCCAATCTGCCACCTCTGGATTTCAGCAGCTGAGAAACAGAAACAAACTCTTATTAACCCAGTTATCTCATAAATATAATTGTTCTATTACTGGACAAATAAAAATCCTCATGTTGAGCATGAAAGTTCATACTTCACCTTGGAAATAGTAGTTTGACAAGAAAAACATTCAAGGTCGACTTACAAGCTTTAATCAGAGCTTTCAGCTTAAACTAATGGCCTTCATCAGTGGATCACGATACCAGAATTTTAGTAGTCGATACAGATACTAGTAAAATTCCACGATTCTCCATGTCAATTCGATACCACGGTAAAAACCAAAAACAATAAATATCACGTACTTTAACAAACACTGTTTTAATAAAAAAACATTTAAACATTACAAAAACAACAAACAGCTGTGAAAGTAGTGAGAGGATGTCCAGGATAGATGTTATAATTACAATGTAATTATTAAATTAATAACCTAATTTTCTTAACTTTTCTTTGCAATCTCACAGGTGTTCAATGTTTAAGGGAGGGTAATTATAAAATATATATTTTTTTATTTATTTAATAAAGTCTGTGAGAAGAAGAACTGATGATCTTTACAAGTCTTACTGTTGCTTTTTTCCTTTTTCCTTTCTTTCTCTTGTGTTTTTAATTTATTTATAGTATTGCCTTTGTTTTCCTTTGTGTTCTATGTTTGGCAAGTGCTTTTGAAATTTTAACCACTGCTGCCTGAAGACCATTAACCGAATAGTGTACCACAGTTATCAGCCAGCAGTGTGAATATTTACCTTTGGAGGGTGTCACAATTTACATTATTCAGAGTTTACACCTGAGTAACACCTGAATTAATGTTTTCCAACCTGTGCTACCATGTGACGTGACTCGGGGGTGTGCTCACAACGCTGCCGCAATATGTTAAAATAATTTTCCAGGACAAAACAAGATTTTCCAGGAAATTTTGCTTTTCCTCTGACTTTCCATGTGTTTTCCATGACTGGAAAATTGGTCAACTGTTTTCCAGGTTTTCCAGGACGCGGTAGAACTCAGAGTTCAAATACATTTTTATGGACAGGATTTAAAAACTTTCCAATTCTGTTTCAGGGACCCATAATAAAAATGTCCATGACAATTCACAGCCTACAGGTTCATGAACTACACTATACAGTTCTGTTTCTATCATGCAGATTACAAACTAGATTTTATTTGATCCATAACGTGAGGGCGGTGGTCCGTCTTTACAGTGAAGCCACTTCGGGGAGTCTGATGATGTAATTTTTTTTTTGCAATGTTTTTAAAACATATTAATTATTATATTTAATTATTATAAAAAGAAAAAGAAAAAAAGATTTGATTACATCTGACAAACACTGGTGAAGCAGAACGGATCAGAAAACACAAATGAATATTTTGCAACTGGGACAAGATAAGTGTATGTGTTATATAGTTTGTTTTTGTTTGTGGTTTGCCAGCAGAAAGAGGACACCACACACAGGTTGAGATGGTGTGACTGGGACGTCTAGAAGCTCGTTAAGTTGGGTCAAACCTCAAATTTTACCACAATTACATCAAACCTCATTTCCTCTGTTTTTACCTCCTGTACTGACAATATCAACATCAAACACACCGAATTATATTCTATTTTCACATCAAGTTAAACAGGAGTCTTTTTCAATAATTACCAAACAAGTTTTGCAGAGGAGAGGCCAATGCATGCCCAAAAATAACTGTTAAAATAACCAGTTGCTGTTAACCTGTTAATCCACATAAAGATGCCAGCAGAAAGAGGAAGTACACCACGTTTCTACTTTCGATTCTTCACAACTGCGTCAGTCACTAAATGGGGTTTAATCACGCTTAAATCCACAAGAAAACATGAACATTTTTAATTGTTTAACAGACTGCATCATCTTTTTGTGCGGCTGTATGAGGTCATAACTTAAAAAATATGCTGATATTGATGTGAACAGGGCTGCAAATGACTCTTATTTTTAACAGAATAATAGTTTGGTCATTAAACAGTGAAACATGAGCACTGTAGTTTTTACACAGAGACCAAGTTGATGTCTTCCAATGTCTTGTTTTGCCCCACAAACAATCCCAAAACTCACAAATACTCACGCATTATCATAAAAAAAACTACCAAAACCAGCAAATATTCACATTTGAGAGCTAAAGTTGTGGCACTTTTGCTTAAAAAAATACAATCACGGTTAACTAAATCACCATAACAGCTGCCAACTAAATTTTCTGTTGATTGACTAATGAAACTATAGATTAAGAATGTGTGTAACATATATAAAGAAGATTACCAGGCTTTCAGGAGAGGACATCAAGTGATTTCTGGTAATAAATGAGCTGTTTTTACTGATCAAGAACAAATACTGGATGTCATATTAGGTTCAAACTGCCTTTTCTTTATCTCACTGGACGATACTGTGCGGTAAACACAGTCTGCAGCAGATAAACAACAACAAACCAGGAAGATACCTCTTTCTTGGCTCCCTGTTTGAGCTGATGGAGGGTCAGGGCGGTCTGTGTGTCGGTGCCGGGCTGAGCTGCAGCTCTGTTTGCCGACGGAGCCGTCAGAGTGCTGCTGTTGTTGTTGTTGAGGTCTGAAAGGCGGATGTTGGGGCAGTTTCTCGGGGGTTTCTGGTGATGCATCGGCGCTGCTGACCGCAGCTTCCTGCCTCCTTTCTTCAGCAGCGCCTGCCTCGTTTTGTTGCCCGTGTTCAACCCATCGCTGCTGGAAATCAAAGATTTCGGGTTGTTGTTTTCGACGTTGCCGATGTTGGCCTCATCGCTGTGAGCCGGAGAGCCGTCTAACATTTCTCTGAGTTGGCGAAAACATAAACAAGCTGTGAAATTCCCCTGCAGCTAAGTTGGCTTAACCTAACGTTAGCTAACGACGTCGCAAGCTAACAGCAAGCTAAGCTTCTTCTTCGCGAGTGGATATTACACTTTATTATCCAAACGACTCTCACGCAGAAGTAATTACTTAACGACTATAGCGTTATTTTGTTGTCTAATTAGTTTTAATTACTTCTGATGCTAAATAAGTCGAGAGATAATCCTTTATCCCGAGATGGCGTCGAGGTAATGAGCTTGTTGGAGCAGAAGTAGCGTTAACACGCGTTAAGCTAGCCACAATAAAACACATGACTTCCGGTTAGGTATTTCAAAATAAAACGTCGTATTGGCCGCCGGGCAAAATGCTGTGATGCATTGTTTTGTAATCATGGGGTCTGTGCAAGATTAATATTTATAAAAACAGGGCAATAAATAAGTAATTTAAATGTCCTGTTTTACAACAATAAAGATAAGATATACTTTATTGTTTCCTTAATGGAAATTTGTCCGTCTGACCGTTCTACAGCTTCGCAAAAACAACACACAACTAACAATAACATCTCCCAACACATACTCTCATGTACATTAGACAGGTACCTGTATAAATATACACATTCCAATTTTGTCCATTTTATATTTATATATTTATACAAATCCAGTCCCCCCTGTAATGTGTTTGGACAACACAAATCAGGAGTAATGCACATGTAAATAACTGCCAAATTGTTTGTTTGTTTTTTCCCAAAGCCTGATTATTAATTTATGACTTGCTTCAGTTTATTCCATATTTATATCTACTATATCTATTTATGTCAACTGTATGTTTACTCTTGGTCTAGCAACTAATCACCGTAGATTAGGTGCTAGACAAAATACTACTAAGTTAAAGAGGACCTAATAACACAATGTAAAAATTTTGCTTTCAGATCTGTATCAAGTTAAAGTAAAGTGTTATCAGCAAAATGTACTGTTAGTATCAAAAGTAAGTATTCATGATCAGGTCTGCAGTTAGGATTCAAGGAACACTTAGTTTGAACTTTGACTTTAACTGTTCAATTATAATATTTTAATTTATATAATAAATTTCCAAACATGAATGGCAAAGTCCTGCTTCAGTGCCTTCTCCAAACTCCAGGGGTACAATATTAATGGTTATGTTAAAATATCTGGACACTAAAAATACTGAAATCAGCATATAAAATGCCCATGGTGTTATTTAAAGTTTTTAATTGTAGAATATTAGTTTACATTCTATAATTAAAAACTTTAAATTGGCACAAAATGTCAGTGTTATTTCATAGCATAGCATACTATAATAATGTAATCATATTATAGAATTATTATTACTGATAAATGCATAAGCAACCTTTTGCTGTTGTAGCTGGTAATGTAAAGTCATTTGATCTGTGGAGATGCATAATATTAAATAAACTGATTAAATGTTTGTATGTAAATTAGAATTAGCATCTTTGTGTCATCTTTATCTCTCAGAAATGTAGTGCCAAGTATTGGGGCATAATTACTGTACTTCAGTATTTCATTAATCTCCATCACTGCATGTTGACACTGCGTATTGATTGTCACTTTCTACATTATTGTTTTGTAGATAAAATCTCCCCTAACTTCCGGTAGCATTCTGTATAGCTTGACACATCTCCACTTCCGGGGACCTTGTTTCCAGTAAGGGGTTTTCCCGACTTGATTCTGTCACTGACGTTCAACCTTTTTATTTGGTAGCACTTTTCGGAGGCGGGGCAAAACTGTAACACTAGAGAAAAAAAAAAGAAAAGAAAAGTGTATGCTATCAGATCACTGTCTCACCTTCTTGTCTCCACTAAAACAGAGTTTAAGGTTATTCTCTTGTCTTTAAGAAGCAATGAAAGCTCTACAGGTCGGCCTACATGTGACTGTAAGAAATGTTCAAATGGTTTGAGTCACAAAGACCTCTCAGTTCACTGGGAGTGAATCAAAATCTGGTGAAGCTTCTTTGAGTTTTTATTCTTACAGTCATTCTAACAGCCTTCGTGAGGAATTAACCTGTGCTGAAAACATTTATTTATATTGATTGTTGACTACATATGCAGTACATATGTATAGGCCTACTTTAAATGCGAGCATGGTTTTAGTAGCTCCCCTTAATGTCTGTAATGCTAATATATTTTCAGTACTCATTTATCAAGCAAAACTATAAAACATTTGTTGGTTCCAGCTTCTTTAGCAACACAATTTGTTACTTGGTACTTTCATTTTAAATTCAATATTCATCATAAAATCTTTGTTTGTCAGACAAAACAACATTCCAGACGTTTTGGTTCTGGAGAAATGAGCAATTTTGACTGTTTTTTAAATGATTATGTAGTTAATTAAAAAAATAATAATAATCAGCAGATGAATCAATAATGAAAAAAACTGTTGCATACCTAAAGATATTTTCCTTGTGTAGGAAGTCCTCTACATAAACAAAGTTAGCCTTGCTAAATGATAAGTAAAATTATTGAAAAGGCTGTTTTTCAACAGCTTAGTGCTTTCTTGGCACTAAATAACTGTTTTGATGTCTTCTAGTCAGGTTTTCGACCACACCACAGCACTGAGACGGCTCTTGTTAAGGTCTTCAATGATATCCATTAAAACACTGACAGTGGCAGAATTTCAGTCTTAGTATTATTGGATCTCAGTGCTGCATTCGACACGGTCGACCACAACATATTACTAGACAGACTTGAAAACTGGGTTGGACTTTCTGGCACAGTACTAAAATGATTTATATCCTACTTAAAGGACAGGGACTACTTTGTGTTTATAGGTAATCACACATGAGCTGACAAAAATGACACGTGGAGTTCCCCAAGGCTGCATTCTGGGACCTCTTTGTTTAACATTTACATGCTTCCACTGGCTCAGATTATGAAAAACAACAATGGTAACATATGTTACCATAATTATGCAGATGACACACAGATTTACATAACCATTTCACCAGGGGACTATGATCCCATACGAGTGCTGAGTAACTGTATTGAGCAGGTCAACGACTTGATGTGCCAGAATATTCTTCAACTGAACAAAGATAAACTGAAGTTATTGTTTTAGGATTTTTGGAAGTCAGTGCTCGACTTCAATCTGTAATGTTAAATCTTGGTGTAGTCATGGACTCAGATCTGAATTTGAGGAGCCACATTAAGACAATTACAAAGTCAGCCTACTATCACCTGAAGAATATATCACGGATTAAAGGACTTATCTCTCAGCAAGACCTGGAAAAGCTTATCCATGCATTTATCTTCAGTCGACTTGACTACTGTAACAGTGTCCTTACAGGGCTCCCTAAGAAATCCATCAGACAGCTGCAGCTGATTCAGAACGCTGCTGCTCGAGTCCTCACTAAGACCAAAAAGGTGGATCACATCACTCCAGTTCTGAGGTCTTTACATTGGCTTCCTGTATGTCAAAACAAATTCTGCTGTTAGTTTATAAAGCAATAAATGGTTTAGGGCCAAAATACATTTCTGATCTTCTGCTTCATTATGAACCATCCAGACCTCTCAGGTCGTCTGGGGCAGGTCTGCTTTCTGTCCCCAGAGTCAAATCTAAACAAGGAGAAGCAGTGTTCAGTTATTATGCTCCGTATATCTGGAATAAACTCCCAGATAACTGCAGGTCTGCTGAAACAGTCAATTATTTTAAATTAAGACTGAAGGCTTTTCCTTTTACCATTGCTTTTAATTAAATATTTAAGATTTTTCTTTTTAACCACTGCCTTAACTAGTAGATTAATAAGTTACACTGTACTGTAACTTTGACTGTCCTGTTTTATTTTTCTTTGTTTTTAGCTTTTTACCATTGCTTTTAATTAAATATTTACAAAGAAAGAGTGAGAAATGAGTAGGTAATAGAGTGAAAAGATAATGAGAGTGAGATTGAACAGAGTGAACGAAGTGGTCTTAAATCTCGCGCCCGAGTGATTTGCAGGAACCTCTGTCCACCTGTAAACGCGCAGGTGGGTCCAGAGTATAACTGGATCAAAGTGGCCTGCGGACAGACATGTCCTGGTTTCTCTGTAGTGTCCGAAGGTTTTTGGAGTTTCAGTGGACCCAAAGATTTCTATGGACCCGAGTACAGACTAGCTAGAGAGAGTAGATTAAAGTACTTCTCTGTTTATTCTCTTTTCAAAATAATTGTAACTCAATTATTTGCTCAACCCCTCAGCCTGTTTTTATTTTCCATTTAACTCTTTTAACCCTGATTGCACACTGCACTGTAACTTTTATTATTTTTTAATGTGTATTATTTCAATTTCCCTGTGTTGCTTTTAAACTTTTTTATATTTCTGTTGCTTTTATGTTTTATGTAAAGCACTTTGAATTACCTTGTTGTTGAAATGTGCTATACAAATAAACTTGCCTTGCTGTTTTGTAATAAATGAATAACTATAAGGAACATATGCACAGACACTGAACACAGGTTTGGTATCACAGTTTTACTGTAGAAAATGTGATGCACAGTTGAAACCTTTTTGTTCTTAACAGACCCCAAACTCCCCTTCAAAACATTCAGTAATATGGACGTCTAAAATGTGCGTACAGTACCTCATACGTCTACACCTCATCCCTCTTTTTTGGATCGAGGATTTTTTTAGAACCAGGATGAACTTGTTCAAGAAACACTAACAATAAATTGGTCGGCTGGTACATTTTTTTTTCCCTCAATACAAGTGCACAAAAATCTTAAAAACTATTAATAACGAGTGAAAAAACACAGGCGTTTTAATCCACTACATAATAGGCTGAGACTTATTTGGCAAAGAGAACCAAGAAACTTAAAGGCAAATCTGAAACTCACATGGGAGGACGTGTTAAAGGTTTGTTTCAGTACAAAAAATAGATATATAAACAATATACAAATACAACATAAACATCTAAATATCCGTCCCTGTGAGCGCAGTACATATCGTTTGTCACCATGACCGTCAAAGGCAAATTAAATCAAAGAGACATTGAGGGTCCTGGAGGCGGTTCTCTTATCTGGAGGCAGCGTCAGGGCTCAGGGCTCCGCCTCAGCTTCGGGATCGTCGTAGATGTAGCTGCCGACACCTCCAGTGTTTACGCCTGAGGGCAGAACACCCAAATACATTTGGAAAATCTCATCAGCAACGTGTCTTTTGAGAAACATGGTCTCAGTTATTAAACCTCAGTGTGAGCAGTTTTCATTGGAACTACTTTCTATGGATGAAATATTGCCCATGAAAGCTCGACAGCGTGTTCTGTAGATTTATCCACATGACTTC